AGGTTAGTGTAGACTAAGTAAGCTTTTGATGCAATAAATACAAAGAAGCAAAGGTAATTCAGAATGAGTACGCAATCACTGATTTATTGTAAAAGAAACTCGCACGAGAATGTTCTTTGCTCGAATCCAGATCCTAAGGAAGACCTAGGTATGTTAACAATAAAAGAGGAAAAGAAATTGGTAAATCATAGTGCGATGCTGTCCTTGGTCCTTAAGAATAGGTCAAGTTGCCTCTTGAAGGACTCCTGAAAAGTCGCTTGGACTAGCTCGGCCGGCAGCGAATTCCAGCTTTTGACAACTCTTAAGGAGTAGAAGTTGTGTCTACATTCCGTCTTGCTATGTTGTGTTTCCAGTTTCTGGGTGTTACCCCTTAGGTTATTGTTCGAACTAAGCTTAAGTAGGTGTTTAAGAGGATGTCCAGAAGTGTTAAGAATACTATAAGCCATTAATAAATCACCTCTAAGACGCCTATATTCTAGTGGGTAAAGGTCTAGTGAACGGAGGCGTTCTTCGTAAGGCTTAGATTTGAGTCCTCGAACTGATTTCGTGGCTCGCCGTTGGATACGCTCCAAAGTGACCTTATCCTTTTGGAGTGAGGGGGGGAGTATTATGTTTCCGTACTCTAAATGGGGACGGATGAAACTATTGAAGATTGTGTGGAAAGTTCTTCCGTCAAACTGACCAAAAATGCGCCTCAACGTCGCCAGTGCAAGGTTTGCTCGGAAGGCATTTTTGTCACAGTTAGCGTAAGACTTTAAGTCATGGGGCACCAGGACTCCTAAATCTTTTTCGACTTGAGATACTACTAGAGAGGAGTTTCCTAAGTTGTAACTGTAGTTTGCGACATGTCGCAGATGGACTACTTTACACTTAGAAGTGTTAAAGGTAAGTCCGTTATCGTCTGCCCAACTATGAAGTCGAGTCAGATCCTCTTGAAGTGCCTGTATATCGTCTTGGTTGCGTATCTCTCTCCAAAGTTTCACGTCGTCGGCAAAAAGTAATAAGTCTGACGTTACCTGTTGAGGAAGATCATTTATGTAGATCAAGAAGAGAAGAGGCCCTAGTACTGAGCCCTGGGGAACCCCACTAGGACATTCCATAGCCTGAGATAAAGTGAAATTAACCCTAACCTTAAAGTGTCGATTTTTTAGGTATGAAGTAAGCCAGTCGATTAGAGGTGGTTTGATACCTAGTCGTTTGAGCTTGTTGATAAGACACAAGTGGTTAACCTTATCAAAAGCTTTTGAGAAATCAAGGTAAATGACATCAACCTTTCCCTTGCGATCGAGGATGCTTGTCCATCTGTCCACCGCAGTCAGCAGGTTGGTTATACAAGAGTAACCCTTCCTGAAACCATTCTGTTGGGGTGAGAAGAAATTTAAGGACAGTAGGTAGTCATTTAAACCGTCGCATATCTGGGACTCCATGAGTTTTGAAGGTAACGACAGAAGAGCTACCGGCCGGTAACTTGAAGGTTCATTGCGTCGACCACCTTTGAAAATTGGTGTGATGTGAGCCAACTTCCAATTTTCCGGTAGTTTGCCTCGGCTAAGCGAGTGTGAAAACATCACGCTAAGCGGCGTTGCCAGGATTGAGGCTGCCTCCCTCAGTATGGCAGGATGAACCATATCCGGGCCAGGAGAAGTGTCAAGTCTTAAGTGCTGCAGTTTCCGGAACACCAAGTCAGCGCTTAGGTCCACTTCAGAAAGTCCTGTGGAATTGCAGATGAAACTGTCGTCGATAAAGTTGATATCAGCCGGTTGAAATGTTTGAGAGTAATGGGCCGCCAGAAGGTTGGCGGCGTCGCCATCGTTGTTGGTCGGGCCGTTAGGTCCTAGCAGTTGAGAAACTCCTGTTTTGGCTTGACGAAGAGAGGCTGCATAACGGAATAGGCTTCTAGGGTTAGAGGCGAATTTGTCCATAAGCTTTGTTTGGTACTGAAGCCTGTCTTCTCTTATAGCCTTCGTGCATGTGTTCCTGATATGTTTGTATTGCCTATACGCTCCATCGTTATTAGTTCGTTTGTATTCCGCCCAACAGTGCCGTTTGCGGCTTAGGAGGCGAAGGGTACGGTTCTTGATTACTGTAGGTGGCTTGAAGCTTTTGGGAACCGTTTGAGGAACTGAATGGTTTGTAGCACATAAGAGCGTGTGCAGCAAGAAGTCCCAATGACCATCCACATCGATTTGAGGGTGAACATCCCAAGCCACCTGTTGTAGATGGTCATGTAGAGCTCGCACATTCAGCCGTTTAAAATTCCATCGCAAATTATTGTTGGGATACCTTAGCTTAGTTTTGATGACAAAACTGAAGGCTATGACGGCATGATCGCTTTTCCCCAGAGGAGCCAGGATTGAGAGGTTGTCGACTAGGAATTCTTCGTTAGTGAATACACAGTCTAAGCGCGATGGTGTCTGACTGTTTCTCCAACGAGTTGCCGATCTCACATTTTCATATAAGCCCAAGTTATCGATGAGGTTGAAGAACCGAGCTTCAGTTGAGTTGTCGCCTCCAGTGTACGTGTGTTCCGCGAAGTTGACTCTAGGGAGATTAAAGTCCCCTAGAATCAGGATGTGTGTGAAACCGAGACGGATAGAGCGGGATAGTCCTTCCAGCATACGACTATCGTACTCGGTGTTGGCAGTTGGCTTCCTGTAAATGACTCCGACTAGACACCTGGAAGTACTAGACAATCTTACAGAGCACCATATGGATTCCTCAAGATTGTTAAACTCGAGGTTGTGAACCTGGTGCACCTCCAAGCAAGAGCTTATGTATATGGCTACTCCTCCCCCAATTCCTGTTTTTCTGTCGTTGCGGAACAAAGTCATCCCAGGTAATGCTAACTCTTGATCCGAGAACTGAGAAGATATCCAGGTTTCAGATATTCCTATCAGATGGGCCTTGCTAGCGTTGCTAAGTTTACGTAGTTCATCCAGTTTGTTTGGTAAACTCGCGGCGTTCGTATATAAGCAGTTTATGCTTTCAATTTGGAACGCATGAGCTTCGTCCTGTTTTTCTGTATGAACCTTATGTGAATGGACAGGTAGCCCACCTATATGAGGTTTGCCGAGGTGGTAGGCCCTGTCCTTTACACGTTTTTTTTATCGTTTAGACAGTCCACAAGTGGAATGGTCAGCTCCAACTTGCCTTTGTTCTTGGTCCTGACTTCGTATGGCCTATCCGGGTGCATGTGGATTCCAGGTGGCAATCGACGTCTATTAGCACGAAATGCTTCCAGAACTGCAGCCGCCATGTGGGAAGATGGGAAGGTTATCTTCATTAGACGGGGTCTAAGATCACCGTCCTTCTTGGCTAGTCTCGTCACATGCTGAGTCAGTATGTGTTTGAGCCTCAAGGACTGTTTGATGAATTTCCATTCCCTGATGTCAGAATTTGATTGAGTAGGGTCTGCATTTTCCGGTATACCTTGGACAATTAGGTTTCTTCCGCGGAAGAACTTCTCGCGAGATTCTTTAGGGACGTTTCGTATGATATTGCGCTCAGAGTACGGTATGTCGGGCAATATTCTTACGTTACCATCTGATTTCAGTAAGTGACTTGCTAGCAAGACGTCCTCTACGTCGGTAGCATTCTTAAGTGTTACTCGGAGAAGCCTCGGGTGATTTAGATGCTTAGAATCCTTTCCTCGAGTGAGCCGGGTGACCGTCAAAGGCTCTATTCTAGGAAGTTCGAGCTTTTTGTTCAATTCACCCCACAGCATCCTGTCGTTTTTATCCTGCAGACTGAGAGGAAGGTCAGGATTGTCAACGAGGTTCATGATAATGAGAGAATCGTCACGAACTGTTGTTAATTTACCAGGTTTCACGATGGGTTCAGGTTTAATAACTTGTTTTTTGGAGGTCAGTGTGCGTTTATGAATCTTGGGCTCTTTATTGACCGGACGAACAGTCTTGGGGGTAGACTGTGCGACTAAATCACCAGTTATTTTCCGTGCAGCAACACTTGGGTTGCTCGGCTTAGGCGGTGATGCCTGGTTCTTTTGGGCTCTCTTAACGTGGGTCGAATCGCCTGCAGGGTTTTTGGGAACCACTGTTGTTTTCAGCGACCCTGAGCTGGGAGACCCGAGTTTGCCTAGGGAGTCTAGTACCGTCGACGTAATGATGGTACTGAGCCTCGACACGTCGTCGTTAGTGTTGATGGATGCTCCATCGATGACATACCTATCGACATCCCTATTTTTGAGTCCGTTGCGCGCTCTTGTTTGTATATCGGTTTTTTTACTGTCGTGTTCCAAGTTAACTGACAGCTTGTTTCGAAGACCTGTCAGTAGGACAATGATGTTACTCAGCAAGACTACTGCGTCCGTGTTGCACGTGACACACACCCACTTTTGCTCTGACTTGCTGAGTTTGTTGTAAGCAGTTGCTGTCAGATTTGTGCATGCTTCGTGAAACCAACCTTTGCAGTTGTCACACTGCATGCCAGTTATGACAGCAAAACGGCATCCCGGACGTTTGCATGAGTTTTTCATGACGGTGTTGAAGCAAACTATGTTATAGATGCTGGCAAAAGCTTAAGACCTTTTTAAAAAAAACACTAAAATGCACACTGAAAACGGACAAAAACGGACAAAACGAGTGATATAAACTGAAACTAGTCTATACGTGAAAAACAAAAAAAACCGAATAGTAAGCTGAGGCAAAACCACAGGTAACTATTAAATATAGTGAAACTCAAAAAAAAGTAATCTACCGAACGTATAGCTCAGGATAGATTTTCTAGAACTGAAATGGTACTTTTGTTGCGTAAGAACACAGCAAAAGTTTGATATATGCAAATCACGTTAGGACTAAACTTCCCGTTCGAAAATCGCGCAGAGTTAATCATATGTAAGTTATGTTGTATACCTTGTAATAAGAGTTGTGAATTCATTTCGTGAGATAATTGTGCTGGACAATGATTGATTACTGGAAATATTTGTGACTGAGAATCGTATGTCAAGTAGTGTTACTTTAAATGGATTAAATATATATATAGCTATGGAAATATTGAGAGTGGGAAATGAAAAGTCGCTACTTTACACCAAACGAGGTTTTAGCACATAATTCACCCGAAGACTGTTGGGTCTCGTTTCTTGGATATGTTTGGGATCTCACACCAATATGCGCACAGAACAAGGGTGAATATTGTTGACTGTATCGATTCTACTTAAATCGCGTATATATTCATCAATATCAGATTTCAGATTTGTGTAGTAAGGACAGAAGGCCTACGGCCTATGTTATTCCTCTTCTAGTATGCTTCTGTGAGTGTCCAGTCTTCTCTTGAAAGAGTCAATTGAAGGTGCGGACACCACTGCTTCAGGCAGCAGGTTCCAAGTATTGATGACTCGGTGTGAAAACCTGTATGCCACGGGTATTTTGTTCGTTCTTGGCTTTTCTACTCGCCTGCTATGTCCTATGAGGTGTCCCGATCTAGTGGGAAGAAAGAGAGAGGATAAGTTAGGTCCGAAATCATTTCTCAGTATTCTGTACATCAATATTAGATCTCCCCTTAGTCTGCGATAGTACAGAGTAAAGAGGTTCAGTTTTTCAAGCCTCTCTTTATATGATAAACCCCGGAGTTCCGGAATTGCACGCGTAGCTGCCCTCTGTACCTTTTCTAGTATGTCTGAGTCACCTTTTAAACAGGGGCTTGCAGCCTGAACACAGTTCTCTAACTTAGTTCTCACTAAGGATGTGTATCATGTGGTGAACATGGTAGTATCAAGCTTAGTGAATGTCCTTTTTAAAGCCCAGAGGGTTCGAAACCCCTTAACTGCGACCTCCCGGCAATGGGCCGTTGTCTTAAGATCATTACTCACTGTCACCCCTAGGTCCTTATGAGACCGGACTACGGGTAATCACACATCCCCTATGTTGTACTTATTAACCTTTGAATCCCCCATGTGCATGCAGACACACTTTTCCGAGTTGATAGGCATTAGCCACTCTTTAGACCAGTTTATCATATTATTTAAGTCCGCCTGAAGAGTAAATGCGTCTTTGTCTCCAGTTATTACTCGCCAAATTTTTACATCGTCAGCGTATAATAACATTGGAGACTGTACTATACTTGTAAGATCATTAACGTACATTATAAAAAGTAAAGGACCTAGGACGGAACCTTGGGGTACTCCACTAAGTACTGGTCTCTAGATGAAGCACTTGGAATTTATTCTTACTTTTTGCCTACGACCTACTAGGAAATCCTTAATCCATTTTAAAAGAGGTCCGGCAATACCAAGGTTTGCCAACTTCAATAGCAGTCTATTAGTTGGCACCTTGTCAAAAGCCTTACTGAAGTCTATGTAGACAACATCCACTGAGTTTCCGTTGTCTAGCGCATTAATCCAGAGCTCCCTAGCTATAAGGAGGTTCGTTGTACAGGATAGACCCTTTCTAAAACCATGTTGTGCCATGTTCAGCAAGTTATTGGTTTCCATAAATGCTGTTATGGTCCTTTTGATTATTCTTTCCAGTATTTTAATTACAACACTGGTGAGGCTTACGGGTCTGTAATTTGATGGAACTTGTCGCAGACCTGTTTTATGTATGGGAGTGACGATTGCGTCCTTCCAGTCCATAGGTAACACACCTTGGTCAAGTGACATTTTGAATATCACAGTCAGTGGGGCTGCGATATATTCGGCAATATGTCTCAGGATTTTAGGGTGTAGTTCATCTGGTCCTGTTGACTTCTCCATGTTTAGGGTGCTAAGAGCCTTAAGCACATCGTTTTGGTCGAAGTCCACGGTGAGCAGCTGGGTTGTTGACTCTGTAATTGGGTCTGGTTCTTTCTCTAGAGGAGGTTCCTGAGTGAAAACTGCCCCAAAGTAGTCAGCCATAACCGAATTACATTCGTCTTTTCTGGGAACAGTTATATCATATATATTTCCGGTTTGATAGTTATTTTAGCCTTCATAATGGTAATAGATACTTAGAACATTCAACACAATCTTATGTTCTGCAATATCTGACCCAAAGAATTTAAGCTTTTGATCAAAATGACTGAAATGTACCTGACACTTGTTCGTGATATATTCTTTGTCGTATTGCTATTTCTCATGAAAAACAGATGAATTTCTTTTTGAATTGTTTGCAACTAATGGTGATAAGTGACGTTATAAATTTGACGATCAATAATAGAATTGAATGAAGCTTCACTTAATTACTTCAGAATGGTTGGTGGGTCCATTATTTATCACAACAGTCTGAGGAATAAATGTGAATCTAACTGATTTAAAAAGTTACTGCTGCGCTATGGGGCATCCACTAGTTATAACTAAGTGTGGAATACAGTCCAGTTATGTCTAGAAAAGTAGACAATCCGGTGTACATTTGTGCGAAAATTAGACACTGATGTAAATTCAGTCACTTCAAACACATGGCGGCAGAAGGAGGATATGTCCGACTATTTGCCCTCGGCAGGCAAGGGATCGGACTTTTTGATGCGTTACTCCTTATTTTCCTTGGGAATATTTGTTTATTTCCCTTACATTCGTCTTTATTTCCTCTTTTTGATTTGCTTTGGTAAAAATGAATACACAAACAGTCCTAGATTAGTTTTAAGTGAGGCCGGATTTGATCAAGCTGAAAGCTATTTTCCGTTCTAAAAATACAGTATTCTAGCAATTTTCGATCGTCACCCAAGAATGACTGACAAAGATTAGGGGAAACCCAGTTGCAGTGAAACGAATACTGAAAAAAATTAAGAAAAAACGATTATACTGAATTACATGTACATTTAAAGACAATCAACAGACTGAATCTCAATATTTTTGTGATTGTGACGTGTTTTTAAGTGACTACCTGGATGGTGTTTTAATGCGTCTCATGAAATCACACGAATTAAAAGGTTGGGTAGAGTGAAAGTACTGTCAAATGTCATTGAAGCTATTCATGCTGACTAGTCTCGATCGATTTGAAACTCAACTTATTGTATTCATTTTAGGTAGCATACTTCTCCAGCCAATCTTAAACGAAGCTGGTAGAGACATATCGCACTGGTTTGATGCAAAAACTGGTGACGTTCGACATCACATTGATCCAGTTACGAACTGTTACGTACCTTACACCCCCTTTGGTCGATTTGTTCACATACCACCACCTTATCCAACGACAGATTGGGCTACAGATTTCGGTATACCTTGGTGGAAAGATGAGAGACTGATTGTTGGATATTTAACTAAGAAGACAAGGTTTGTACGTATTTTCAATACACTTGCGCTACTTCAACACGAAATTGAGGTTTGTTTTCTTTTTTGTAAACTATTATAATTATGCCTTTAGTCAAAAATATATTACTATCTCGGCCATTTGATCAAATGTGAAATACCTCTAGCGCCGAATTCAGTGACTTATTAAACACAATAATACAAGAAGATAGTTCATTAAACTCCTCTGGATATTTGTTTTTGTGTCAAAATAAAAGTATAGCATCGTCAAAAATTAAAAGTAGGATAACTACTTTTCTTCACGGGATACACAAACGTCAATCACTGCTTGATGAATTCCGGTTTTTTAAGAAGAAAATAGGTTCAAAATATCGTTTGATTCACATTCTAAAAAATATTTCCGATGTAAAATCGATGTCCACTAGAGAGACAAGCAAAAGTGAAGACCGAGTTTATTCAACATCGATAATTATTGTCTCGAACCCTATAGAATCGTCCAATAGGCTGTTGGGCGTGATAAACACCAAGATTTTCGTCTGGTACGATATCTTAATAAACATAGGGGTTTTTATTGTTTCAACGTTAGTATTTAGGATTGGTTTTATGACCGATGGTTCTCATTCCGCCGCTAATTGCTATTCAAAATATAATTAGCCAAAAGAACAAAGATATTATATAGACGTCCATTCAGTTAAGTCATACGTTGTGAAATTTTGTCCAGTGAGGCGAAACCGAAAACGTAGGAACCATTTAATTTTAAAAAGATAATACCTATTGAGAAGGGGTCATACGTGAGGCAGTGTAAATAATTTAACGTACCGCTATAACATCTGTTTATATAACATTTCATTTTTTATTATTTCAGTACAACATTTCGTCCTATCTGTTCAATAAAACATATCATTTGTATCAATTCAGTGTAAACTTTGTTGTTTCAACTCACTACGACTTTCGTCAATTGATAACTAATGCAGGTAAACCTGCATGTAAGAGAGTGTATTTTGTTCTCATGAAGGAGGAATACTTTTGGTATTGGATGATTAGAAAAATCTTCATCTGCCAATAGTGTTGGTCTCCGTTGCATTAAACCATAGCGACTCTCAGTTTTATACATACCACTGTTCCCGCTTCTAAGTCACAATCCAAGCAATAACAATATCTATTAAATAATTTGGCTTGCGAATCCAAAGCTTAGTTCATAATGTTTTAGCATTTGAGGTAACAGGTACTAGATTCAATTCTTACTGCGAAAATTAACACTGAGATTTAGGTACATCAGTCTGACTAGTTCCAAATAGGATTAAACATAGATCCTGAATCCAATTGTTAGCATCCGTTTAAAACATATCTAATTTACTCTGTAAATTATCTCTTTGGTGATAAAATTAAAATTTGTTTACAATAAAAATATAACGACCTGTTGATTGGGTCATGTTACCTGTAAAATATTCGTCGACTTTACCTACAATGTAAAATGTTAAACTATTTTTGTTTTTCTAACTAAACGATAAAATTTTGTTAATCAAGCTGTTTACTTCAAAGAACATCTTATTTTTGCTACTCCATAGACCTTCTGTTATGCCGATGCTTTAAAAATGGGAGATTCGGAAATGTATTTTTCTAAAAACCTGTACATTTTCTTATTTTAAATCTATTATTTCTTTTTATTCTGTCGATTAGGTATGCGTTGAGGAGACTATTACAGATATTCTTGTTCGTTATTTAAAATTTAATTCACACGCTGCCTCGTATACATGGAAGTATAATGGTGTTGTACTAGATATGGAGAAAAATCTTGAGGAGAATAATATTAGGGAAGAAATACAAGATATTGAAGATTTATTTATGCCTCAAATATATCTTTATTACAATGACGATTTGACTGAGGCATAATTAAACAATAAGTCAAAAGAATAATTTATGATTTCATGGTTATTTGTACGCAACAAATATAAGTACCATTATTTACATGAAAGTAAATTTCTTTAGGGACTTTCATTTGATATGAAAAAAATCTATTAATTTAAAAATTTCGTTTTCTTATGTGTTTTATTGGCTGTTATACATATTTAAAATAGTTTCTGTGACCAGGTTTCAATGATAAACCAAGATCTATGAAATAGATAAAACTGAAAATTAAACAGTAACTCACCGATTGTTTATAACTGACTGAGTAGTGTGCTATATTTTTGTTATCATAATGTTATTGATCACCACACTAATATATCAGTAATTTAAAAAATGATTATCTAATGGATTTAAGATAATGCTACTTGAAAAATAAATTATTAGGGGGAATTTTATGGAAATAGTAAATTTTCACAGTTTAAAACAAGAACGCATCTTAGCTAGATCACCAATTAAAACCTACAAGCACTAGACAGCCGTTTCGTCCTAGTACGAGACTTTTCAGCAATACACACCCACGAACCCGCATCCGATAATTAAACTGAAGACCTTCGGTATCTTTCACTAATGCTTAAACTGTAGACCACAAAGCTGGCATCCACGTTCATTTTTTTCAGTATAAAAAAATCATTATATTTAAAGCTTTTATTTCCTTAATATAAAATGTTCCTCTGGTCTGAATTATTGAAGATTTTTAGCTGCTATCATACTGATGTTAATCATTAATTATCATATAATCGTGTTCTCTCATAAAATAAACTCAAAGATTGGAAAAGTTTTACTAACCTATTTAAATATTTTTACAGAAACATTTTAAGGCATCCTAGTTAAAAGCACGTATGATTAACACCAGTATTGTACCTATAGAATAGTTAATTGCTAATTTATTCATTCATAGTTAAGTGAAAATATCTTTGAGATATGAATTTATGACCATCCGTTTAGGGATAAATCCATGAATACTTACTTTGAAGCTGTATTATTATATTGTATATCCCTTAGAAGTACTACAAATATAATAAAATTATCAGTAAGTAATGGTGAGGTTAGGTAAAGGTTAATATTTAAAGATGATAAAAACGGTTGATAGGGCTATGTACTTTCGTCAGCTAAGGTTAATTATGTATGCGCTACATTTTATCAGTCACTTTCTACTACAAACCACAAAGTATGTTGGTATAGGAGTCGATGAAAACGAGTAAATGAAGTGAATAACTGCTGTACTAAATTATATCGAGAGGTACGTAATACTCGATTGGAATAAAATGGATAACCATAATCTATAACCTCAGACTTAAAAAGCCATGATTCGAAACAGGCCACAATGGTACAGCTATATGGTTGTTTTTATCTACTGTTTTATCCTGAATTTGAACATTATTTTATCTCAATTTTTATTTCGAACTGTATTTTCTATAATTTATTCTTGGTTAACGTTGAAAATACTATTCTTACTCATTTCTATTTTATCTAAACAATTCCCTCTTTAAGTGTGCTAATTTGAAATGCAACAGTTTTTACTAAGACACATTTCTGAAAACGCTTATACTGTTTATGACTGATTGATAAAGATTAGCTTTTAAAACATTGATATTTTCTCTTTACATACTCTTAATTCAGATAATATTTAACCAGTAAACTACAATAGGCTGTCTCAATACAATCATTATATCATATGTGAATATTTCCAAAATAGATTAATACTATTTACTGGAATCTTTAAAATTCTTTGTCAATCTAAATAAAAAGAAACTTATATCTGTTTTGTTTTGGAAAAAAATTGCGTCAAGAAATGCACAATAAAAGAGGTCAGTCAGCTACAACGTAAAATCAGGCACATATATGCGTTGGTCCAAGTTACCATACCTCATTAACACAGCAAGACGAGCATGGGATTCATAAAATTAGTTAATTCAGAGGTGATAATATATAAAAGAAAGATTACAATAAGGATATAGTATAGGAAGAAAGAATTAGTTCGTAGAAAGAAAGGTATGAAGTGATTTTAATCTCATAGTTTAAGGGAAGACAAAGAGTGTATATACCTACTCCATTGTGATCGATTCTGAGCCATGTCACATAGAGTCTCTAACCATTGGTTATGATAGTCACACGAACACTAACAGTACAGGAAAAAAAGAATTAGTTCGTAGAAAGAAAGATTTAAAGGTAACAACTAGAGAAGTAATATCAGTTGATCATATTTCATATTCAAATTCTACCTCTTTTTAACAAGAAAAAAAAAGGGTAGAAGTTTTATTACTTTCTCTATTGTTATTTTTGTGTTCATATATGACAGATATATCAATATTGGAATTAGTTACCTGTTATTTTCAAAAAAAAATTTATTTTTATATTCATTGAAGGATAAAATACACTTCTACATAATTACTAATTTGTTTTCATAATGTTAAAAAAGATAAATATTCTAGACAATTTAATGCCATAAATCTTAGTATAGATTTAAGATAAAGATTATATTGTAATATATACTTGAATGTATTCAATAATATGTTATTGAAGTTAATAAGATATGTCATTTATCAAACTGAACAATGAATTGGTTAGATTTAATCCATCAGTGTAATATGTAATTTAAATTAAAGGTAACAATTAAAGTAATAATATTAGTTGTGTTGTATCTTGATGAGAATAATGAATGGTAATTTTTGAGATTCATTTATGGACCAATATTATGAGTGTATTTTTATCGTATAATTGTTATGGAACTAAACTGTTCATATTCATGTCGCTCTTATTATAAGCTTTGATTTGACCTATGAACTATTATTATACGATTTACCAATCATGAACTATTCCCTGTCTGTTAATCGTTACCTCCCTCATTCACAGCCACATCTGGTTAATTCCTGAACAAATGTTGTTTATATTTTATTGGTACGTTGTGGCCGGTTTGTTTGGTATACAAACTCAGTATGCTTGAAATATAATGATTCATATCTCAGAGACTGAGACTTGCGTTCTGGACTCAACTGGCTGGGCTAGACAGCGAAGTGAGACCAATCAGAACTCTAGGCCGTTCTTACGTGTTTTACGCGTCTGGTCCGATCGATAATACGCTGCGCTCTAATCTGCAGTTACAAGTTACAACAAGTCGATCATATTTCAAGGCATTCTTTTTATTATTAAACTTATTAAGAAAATCAAGTTCAAATTCTTAAATTGAACTAATAGTTTAGTCAGTGAGATTATAATTTATGGACGATCTTTGAGCGACGTTAAGATGATCTTAAGAGTGTCTATCTACTTATTAGGGCTAAATGACGGTTATAAATCAGTTTGAAGAATAAGGATTATGATTTACAGTTGATGGTTAGGGTTAGAAATTAGATTTAGGGTTTTCATCACAAAGTGACATTAGCTATAATGACAAGACTTAATTCAACCAATTGGGTGAATGAATTTCGTGCTAAAATCTAAGACCTGTAATCTTATACATGATTGGTTTGTTCATAAATTATAGCCTTGGTATTTAGGCAATTTAACTGCAATTACTTAAAGTACTTGAAGTTGATCCATTAACACTTATTGTTCTCTTTTATGTCAAGTTATTTCCAGTTATTCCAACTTTTTTACAGTTGTGAAACCTGATATAAAATAACCATTTGATGTTGATAGAAAACAGGATGTAACATTAGTGCAAATGATACATAATTTCAGTTTACAAACAGGGAAAAGTACAGTTTTCTAATCTGGTCACAGATGTATCAATGAAATCTTTATCTGTCATCAGTTTTGAAAATTGGCATTCTGACTGGTGTTTGACTATAACTAACCCACAGGTCACACATGACTAATTAATACTTCAGTGACTGCGTCAACTGATATTAGTCAGGACTATTTATTATATATCATTGTGATTAGCTAGACCATAATTACGTCCCTAACGAATTTAACATTTATATTCAACTCTTTTAAGACGTATCTCTCACGTGTAGATGTTTTCATCAACCTAAATCTCGTCAGTGATAAAATGTATAATCTTGCACAAACTTAGATAATAGTGATAGAACTTTGAGAATGAATGTGTTGAGCATAAAATATTTCCTTAGGACTGGTCTATATGACATCATATTTTGATCAGTATTCTCAACAAAAAAGATTAACTTAGGCATACTAGTTTTTTCGAATAGGTGGTATAAATGCTTCAAGTTAAAAGTGGCTGATGATAAAAAATGGATTTATACTATTCTACTACAGTATCTTTACTTCAACGTATCAGGAGATTCTAGGCCCAAGAAGCATCATTATAAGGAATGGATAACTATCGAAACCCTGGGCAAGATTCAAGAGAGAAAGAACACGAAGACAGCAATTAACAACAGCCGAACACGAGCAGAGAAAGACAAGACACAAGCTGAATACATAGAAGCAAACAAGCAGGTAAACAAGGGCATTAGAGCTGACAAGAAGAAACACGTAGAAAACCTGCCAACGACAGCAGTAAACGCAGTAAGAGGAGGAAATACGAGATAACCATTCGATATAACGAAGAAACTGACAAGGAAATATAGTAAACCAGGGAGACCGGTCAAGGACAAAGAAGGCATGCCAATCAATGAGATGCAATAACAGAGAAACAGATGGGGAGAACGACTTGGGGAACTCTTGAATGGGCCAACCCCACTAATCCCATCGGACATCAAAGCAGCACACAAAGACGTTCACTCCACCAACGATCGAATACGTCAGGATGGCCATCTGATAAATCAAGAGTGGGAAAGCAGTAGGACCTGAAAATATACCAGCTGAAGCACTGAATTCAGACATAGAAGTAACTGCAAACATGCTCTACGTTCTATTCAGAAGGATTTGGGAGGGAAAACAAGTGCCGACAGACTGGAAAGAAGAGAGTCTCATCAATATATTAAAAAAGAGATCTGGACAAGTGTGAGAATTCAGCCACAGAGTCATCTCAACAGAGTGTTATTGAACCGGATGAAGGATTAAGTAGATGTCCAACTTCGACATCAACAAGCCGGATTCCGTAAAGATCGGTCGTGCACAGACTAAACAGTGACACTACAGATTATTGTTAGGAAACTGACTGAATGGAATTCGTCACTATACAGCGATTTTTTTGACTACGAGAAGGCGTTTTATAGTGTGAATAGGAGAACCTTTTGGAACCTTCGACGACACTATGATGTACCCAAGAAGATCGTCAATATCATACGGAATTCATATGATGGACTACAGTGCAAAGTCGTGAATGGAGGACAGCTAACAGACACATCCCAAGTGAAGACCGGAGTCAGACAAGGCTGCTTTCTCTCTCCGTTCCTCTTTCTTCTGATAGATGACTAGATCTGAAGACCACCATATATCAAGGGAAGCACGGAATAAAAGGAACAGTTTGCATGCAACTAGACAATTTGGACTTCGTAGATGACCTAGCTCTTCTATCCCATAAACATCAACAAATGAAGGTCAAGATAAACAGTGTAGCAGTAGCCTCTGCATCAGTAGACCTCAACATACACAAATGAAAATGCAAGATCCTCAAGTATAACATGGAAGATACCAACACAATCACACTTGATGGAGAAACTCTGGAAGAGATGGAAAGTTTCACGTGCCTGGACAGTATTACGGACAAACAAGAAGGATCTGATGCAAATGTAAAGTCAGGAATTGTCAAAGTAAGGGCAGCATTCCTACAGTTGAAGAACATTTGAAGCCCAAAACAACTGTCAACTAATATCTAAGTCAGAATCTTCAATACAAACGTCAAAACAGTTCTACTTAAATTTTGATCTCCATTCAAGATTACCAATATAATTGGGTTTTGAATCATTTGGAGTTAGGAAGTAATCTAAAGATTCATCGTTGAATGTAAGCGAAACTAATATTATTCAATCACATAAGCAACAAAAGATTTCATTCATTTAAAAATTTACATCAAATGACAAGAATAAATTACTTTATAGTCAATCAAACAAACAAAACAGTGATCAAGTTAATTAGATTACACTTTCCAAATTTCATTCTGATCAAGTAATTACATTTAGCAAAATGTATTTCATTGATTATATTACATTGTTAAAGTCTATTTTTATTTTACATTACTTCTCAATAGACTTACAAAAAATGTATTCATCTATTAGTTGGTGTCTTGAATTAATACAATAATTGACAGAAATTTTACTTCATGTTGTCTTTGTTGAAATACAAAGAAAAAAGATGAGTTTTTCATTATGTCAAGTGAACAAATCTTATTTTTTTAGTCATAAAAAAGTTTTCAAATCCCTCTGGGCAGGATCGTGGATGTGTACTACTGAAGAGTCCCACAATAGGACGAAACGGTCGTCTAGTGCTTCCAGGTTTTCTATGATGGTCTAGCTTTAATCGACTCATAATCTCAAGTATTTAAAGTATTATAGTACATTAAGTGAAATAATATGGATTTTCAAACTAAATAGTTGAATAGATAACTTGAATAGTTATACTTAATTGTTAATGAATTTTAACTTCTATTGAATTATGATCGGAAATGTTTTATTGACGTATTATATTGTTTCTTTAAAATAAACCTCAAAAGATGGAAAGTATCAACCAAGTTCAAGCTGAAGATTATGTTTAAATAGAGAAAGTTAAATAAGTTTTACCAAAATACTGAGTAGTATTGACCAATTTATCTGAATATCTATTAAGAAAAATATGTAAATATATATGGGTTATTTAATAGTTGAATTTCAGTCAATTAGAGCTAGACTATCATGAAAAATCTCGATTAACCTGGGTTAATTTTTCTAAAAATAAATTAACTAAACTCGTGAATTAATTGCCAATTGATACTTTGAAATACTGGTTACGTAAATCCGATTTGAAAGTGTGTAGCAACTATCTTACAACCAACCTCGATTATGGTGAAATTTAGTTAAGCACTTTTATTAAGTTACCTAACTGACAATGTTATTTGAACAGTAACAATTCGCATATGTCTTTGTACTATTATGATCACTATCTTGTCGGTATAAATGTGTATTCTTGATCACATGACAGACTCTAGCTAAAATGTTGATTGCTTAAATATCACTCGATGATTCATTCTCCTCCCCATGTATATATGTACTCAAATCCTATTATTAGCTTTCTCTTTGCCTTGCTGTGCCCTTATGCAATTTGACTATAAATTTGCCTATGTAATTGTTTGCATATCCATAATCACCACTCTGCTTCAAATTCGCTTTAAGTGCTCATAGCTTTGATCTGCGCTATCTGCTAATAAACTAGTTGCCGCTTATCATTGCCTTCTGATTCCAAACACCGTTGAAATGTATATAATAGCGGTTACAAGGGTGGTTGATAAACAAACCAAAGCCACTACAAGCGAACCAGCTGAGTGATATTATCCATTTGTCAAACGATAATGTCAATTAATTACCTCTATGTATAATTATTATTAAGTGATATGTCAGGTAGTAAGTTAACCTGATAATTCAGTTTGAACATTGTTGACTGTTCAATGATCTACAAGATCAATATCCTATGATGACCATTTACGTTTTATTTTATGTCAAATAGTTTTTTTCTTTCGAAAATTTTATTATTTTTCTACACAAAACAGATTTTCCTTACTAGTCAGTTCATTATTCTCATATCCATTTATTGAACATTTAAAGTCAGTAATTCTTGCTTTATGGGCAGTTTTCGTTCGGTTAAACTACTTCTTGTTGACTTATTTAAATGATTGCATAATCTATAAAGGAAAGCACCCAACTGCGTCACAAGACAAACCCTCACATGGAATCCTGAAGGCCAAAGGAGGAGAGGAAGACCAAAGAATACATTACGCCGGGAAATGGAGATAGACATGATAAAAATGAACAAGAATTGGATAGAACTGGAAAGAAAGGCCCAGGACAGAGTGGATTGAAGAATGCTGGTCGGCTGCCTATGCTCCATTAGGAGTAACAGGCGTAATTAAGTAGGTAATAATCTATAAACTTAATGTACAACAATTCACCCGTTATAATACAGAATGAATGAAACTAATATTACCTTGTAGATCAAGCCTCATCAAAATAATTTGTTGAGTCGGCTTCCGGAGGACTTCAACGGGGCCTCCAGAGGCCCAAAAGGAGCCGAAGGGTCCTAGCTAATCGGAGTATGATGGAACGTTCGAGAATTCCAGCGTGGCGTGCTACTATTGGTCGGTAGCATAATATGACGTTGACGGATGTTGATTTAACAAACGCCAAAATCTATAAATACCCTTGATTTTCTGTACATAAAGGAACCTTAGTATAAAGTATTTTCTCTCATCCTTGTGTCTTCTCTCTGGTGTTCAAGTCGCTGTGTAGTTCTAGTCTGCGGGTTACCAGATAGCTTAGGAATCGTATATAGCGTTTCATCGACAAGACGTATCATAATTACATTATTAATCTTAATAAGATTATAATTATTATTCCCATGATATTTCAATTCTGATTTATTTTTTATTGTTTTATAATCTTTTAACTCAATTTATTATTGTCATATCATTGTGAGCCAATCAAATTAATCGGAATTTTAAAATTCAACTCAAACTTATCTACCAATCATAATTATACAAGTGAAGAATGAACATTCCAAGTTTTTTTTGCCCCTATCTATCTATCTATCTATTTATCTACCTTTAAATCTATAGTATTTAATGGTACTAAGTGTTATTTATTATTCATAAATACCCAATTTACATATTAAAATACATTGTTACCGATTAATATCTAATTTTGAAATATCATTTGTAGAATAAAACCTCATTAGTACGGGTTTTTTCAAAGAATGAATCAATTTGTATGTTATTTTATTATTCTTAGTTTATATATAACTTATTATTATTGTTATACAATTAAAATGAACCCATATGGAAATTTTATGTATCCTTCATTATCAACCTCATCATCGTCTGTCTCATCATCATCATCATCAGAATCAGAATCAGAATCATCTCCAAAACTGTTAGTATCTTCATCGAAATCACTACCTATATCTCAATCTTTAATTGATAAATATCTTACATTTAATAATAAATTCAATAAAGATCAATTTAATCAATATTCTGATGATCGTTCTAATAATAATTATTATTATTATTATAATCATCATCATCCACGAATGTCGAAACGTGCTGATTTGAAAGATTTATCAATTCATAGTGATATGGCATTTATACGTAAATTATTCGATCAAAAAAATCATGAATTATTAAGACTTGGATAAGTTTTCAAAAACAAAAAAATCATAAAAATTTTAATTATTTTAGCTAAATAATGATCATTATTATTATTGATTTCATTCTTGTTTTACTGAACTAACAATTCAAAGATCTATAATTCTATGTTATTAGTAATGTATTTATTAGAAATGTTAACCAATAAAAATGCTAATAAAATTTAAAATAAAACTGGCGGGAATTTTGTAGGTATCATTACCAAGGTTTTGGTTATTTATTCACTGAAGAGATAGTTTACACTAAGTGACGAAACGTCAGAAAATCTCATTTTTCTACTCATTAAGATATTACAAATATATTAATTTATTTATGGCTTAGATTTGTTTAAAAATTACTATTCATCTAATATATTTTTTTATATTTTAACAAGTGATCATGACAATAGTATAATAAGTAGTATAGTCTATAGTAAAAAAGAAATATCTCATCAAATCTAGTTCGTTTGTTTTATGAGATGTGAATATTTTTTTTGATTTCGACTTTTAGAAAGTCGAAATTCTGTATTGTTTAAATGTCTTAAACTAGTAAAAGAACTATCAACTGCCTCCTTATTATAATTAATAATGAATTTCTGTAAATAATAAACTGTGAATAATAAGGTTAGAGTTATGGGGATATTGAGTGTAGCGCACACAGACAGGTTGTATAGAGAATATAGATATAGTCAAAGTTACGACTAGAAAATGAAAACTCTCCTCTAAGCACCAATTATTCATTGAATTAATGGAAAAGTGACCAATTTTCTAATTATGATATGTACCGAACATAAAAATAATGTGATTAAACTTAATCGAGTAAATATATATTAACGACTAATTATTACATACACGAAGAATTTTTTTAAATTGTAGAAAGTGAATATCACTTTGACAGTTGAATGGTTAGTTGATAAAGAGAAAATTTGTTACACTGCCAATAGTAATTTTTTGTCTATTTTTCTGCTTCTAACTTTAATTAAGATTGTAATGGATTATCATCAAGATAATTCCTCATGCTTAACATGTTAATTGTCCTGACAACCGTTATTAAACCGATCTCAACGATACATAAATTTCAGAAGATAATAAGAAACGTCAACTACAGTTTATTATTAAACAGCACAGGTTACCAAGTCACAAACACACAAAACGAATTCGAAAAAATATGATAATGATATCGAACAAATGTAGAGGCGAATTAAGACACGAACGAGTTAACAAGACTCAATCTCACATGTATGAGAAAGCGAAGATTCATTGAACAATGTAAGCAACTAATATTTGAGCTAGTAAGAGGGATATATGTGTTTAAGCTGTAACACGTGACCAACCATACAAACACGATACCAATAATAATATAATGATATACAAATTGTCACTATTTAACGCTGCTCGCTAAGTTAGTTGAAGGGCTTGACAGGATTAAACGTAAACAAACTTAAGTGTAGGTGAGGTGCTATAATACTATGTACTACATAGTAAAAAGCTTCAATAACATATCGAAGCAAGATTCTTTTTGTAAGTGTGAATATTATTATTTTCGCCACCTTAATCGTAGCAAGAAATGAAGTTTCAACTTGTTATCCATTACTGATATAATCACAATTGTTACCATGTTACGTATTGCACTTAGCATTTTGCTTATACAACAAATTTGAACAGTTTAATTAAATGATAATTTGATCTCTATTTTGATAAAATCATATCGTCCTAATTACATCATCGAATATTTGTCTGAAATGAACATAAAAATGATAACAATTTACCGCTTCATGTTATAAGTAAACGGAAACAATGTATAGCCTTAATTATTACAGTACTTACCAATAATTATCAACAAAAAGAACTCAATGACAATCTAAATGCAAAATATCTCACGATTAATCCTATTTTAAGTTCTAATGACTTTGAAGATTAATACAGTTATTAAAATGGATTTATACCGCTTAAGTACAATGACTTTCATTGCTACTAAGCAAAAAGTGGAAATTTAACTTAATACTAACTTTTTGCAGAGACTACAATACTTGTAATTCTGACAAATCTTATTATTTAGTAGTTGAATACACCAGTCAATTGAATCTAGACAACCATGGAAAACCTGAAAGCACTGGACGGCCGTATCGTCCCAGTATGGGACTCCTCAGCAGTGTGCATCCACGATCCCTCCTGTCTAGCTTCAATTGACTCATGAATTCAACTACTATATTACTATAGTATCCACAAAACGTTTCTTTGATTGAAATATTATTATTTGAAGTCGGCAAGATCTGACCAATTGTTTTCTATAACTTGAATGTCTATTCAGCCATCACATAATAATTATTTAATCTAATTGCATTTCTGAAACTTAAATGAATTAGGATTAGTAAGGGAATAGTCACTTTCCAATTAATAATTCTTTTAACCTGTCAGAGTTTTATATCAATTTAATATCAACTTTTTTTAATCATTTTACTTTACGAAAAAGTTTCCATACCAATTTTTATCATAAACCTATTCATCTTTTCGACTATTAACCCAGTTCGATGCCAAAATTAAAATAACGTTTACTTAATTTTTCATGTTGTATAAATACCCTTGAAGAATCTTACTATCAGTATGACTATCATAGAATCGGTATTGACTGGACGCACATGAAAATTTGTTCTCCTCAAGATGTACTGTGTAAATGTTATGATTAATAAACTATTTATCTCAATGATCTTAATAATAAAGTATAATTTTTCTAATAGTTGAATTCATGAGTCAGTTGAAGCCAGAACACCATAGAAAACCTGGAAGCATTGGATCGCCGCTTCGTTCTAGGATGGAACTCCTCAGCAGTGCACATTCACGACCCCACCTCATGAGATTCCAACCCAGGATCTATCAGTTTCGCATACGACCACCTAACCATTAAACCACTGAACCGGTCGGCATCCAATGGTGTTAATGTCTAACTTCAACCAATCCACGAAATTGGACCACCTTCCACCATTATGTTTAGTGAGTTATTATCTCACGACAGATCCGGTTGAACTCCACTGATCACTAGAACTCCAGGAAATACGTCTTGGATACCGTCACTAGTGAGTATATGATGATTATAGTCAGAGAGGGGTTTAACAGTCAAAGAGTTAGTATTTACAATTTGTTAATGATTGATTGAACATAAAAATAAGCGATCATATTCTAATGTTAAATAAGACTATTGACCTAGACAAAGTTATTTTATTTATTAATCATGAGATTATATTCAAATAAACCATCAAAATATGTCTAAAATTTTTTTATTAAAACTGATTAAAGGATTTGGTAAAGTACTCGATATTCATTTGTATAAACTATTAAATGAAAACAAACAATGTATTCAGTAAACGAGTTCTTTTGAGTGAACTCATTCTCAAAGCTACACAAACGTATTTCGATGTGATAAATTAAAGGTCAATGAATAACTATATGTCTATTAGGATTTGATTTTTTGTTATGTGAAATTTGACTACACTATTTTAAATAAATAAATAGTTGAAGTTAAACATTAATAGCATTGAATGCCTGCTCAGTGGTCTAGTGGTTAAGTATTCGTTCGCGAGACCCATAGGTCTTGGATTAGAGTCCCGCGGGCAGGATGATGGATGTGCACTGCTGGCGAGTACCATACTAGAACGAAACGGCTGTTCAGTGCTTTCAGGTTTTAAATGGTGATCTAGCTTACATTAACTCATGAATTCAACTATTAAAATTATTACAATCTCCACAAACCCTATTTTGATCACAAGTCATTTTTGACGGCCTTCAATAATTAAAAGATAAAATTTCCTTGGCTTATTGTTTTGGACAATATTACAGAGTATAAAATTTTATCTTCCGTTTTAATAAAACTTTCAAGGGTAATCAAAATTAAATGTAGAATAATGAATAAGATCATGCAACACCAATTATATTTTAATATTGTGATAGAAACTCAAAATTAACATGTTAATATATAGTGTATAGCATAATGATACTATTCGATGTCAAATATGAATAATTAATTAACATATAGTTGTGGATTTATCCTTCTACTTTTGTTAGCCATTATCCATAAAATGTGAAGTGACTTGATGTTAATAACGAAATAAAGAATCAGTGACAAACAATAAAATTGACTTCTTAAAATATTATCTTGTTTAATTCTTAATCTGTAAAGAACTAACATTTAGTTTTGTCTCTGTTTTAGTATGTGAATTATAAAGTTTCGTTTAATGTATAAGTTACTGTCATATTCTTTGCTATTCCGAAGTTATTTATTTACTTATTATTTATTTGAACACATAAATATTGGTACAAATGCGCCACACAAAACAATGAGAATGGGAAGAGAAGAAAAGAACAATAACGACCAGATTAGTGTAAGGTAGTGTAATGATAATAATAATGGGGGAAACGGAAGGGCACAACCGGAAGATGCCTTTCAGTTAAGGAAGATACAACCACTTTTTATGAAGAAAGTAAAATAAGGTTACAACAGGATCGCCACTGGTTTCTATTCTGAACCATATCTGATAACGTCTCTAGCCACTGTGTAGCACCATCTCTCGGACTCCAGTCAGGGAGTCGTGAAGGACCAACATAAGCCAGCCCTATGCAGCTTTCTTACATACCACGACACCATGTCATACACTGACCACCTCTCCGCTTTTTCCAACCAGTCCCAGACTCGGCAAATAATGCACGACGTGGAATGCTCTGAGACGACATTCGTAGAACATGTCCAGGCCACCGAAGTCGGTGTTTCAAGATGGTGACACCAATTGAATTATCATCTCTGTGCCCGAACAAATGATGCCGAATCTCTGCATTACTGACATGGTGTTGCCACTGGATGTCAGCAATCCTTCGGAGACAACGATGGTCGAACACAGAGAGTCGTCTAACATCCTCAACTCGGAGTGTCAAGGCTTCACAAGCATAGGGCAAAACTGCTCTCACCGACGCTTTATAGATCCGACCTTTTACAGCCAGACTAACATTACGAAGGCGCCAAAGATGGCCCAGATTGGCGTAAGCCGCTCTGGCATTCACTATACGTGAATTGATCTCAACACTCACGCCACCGCCAGCTTTTGTGCAGCTACCTAGATACACGAACTTCTCGACTACTTCTATCTGCTCACTATCCAGGGTGAGTACAGGATTAGAATCCTGCCAGTCTTGTAAAGTACTTTGCACTTCGAAGGTGCAAAGCACATACCATACCTACGGACACTGATTGCCAACTGATTAAGTGCGGATTGCATGCCTTGGGCATTATCGCACAGTAAGACAATATCATCCGCATACTCAAGGTCGAGAAGCCTTTCTCCAGGCAACAGATCCACACCACCACTACTTACATCCATCAGAGCTGTTTCCAGAATGTCATCGATGGCAAAGTTGAAGAGGAATGGTGAGATTGGGAAACCCTGCCTAACCCCACTGCTCGAATGGAACAATGGAGAGAGGTGGTTGTATGCCCTAACTCTACCCGAGGTGTTTGTATATAGGGCCTTTAGGATGTTAATGAACTTCTCAGGCACACCCTTCTTCAATAGACAATCCCAGAGAACAGTTCTGTCCAACGAATCGAAGGCAGCCCTGATGTCAAGAAACACTACGATTGTTGGCCTTTGAAAAGTATGGCGGTGTTCTAACATTTGGCGGAGGGTGAAAATATGATCGATACATCCTCGACCAGAACGAAAACCAGCCCGATCCTCACGAGTCACTCTTTCTGGAGTTTTGAAAAACCTACGAAATATGACGGAAGCCGACAGCTTGGATACAATCGGAAGTAGACTTATCCCCCGATAGTTGTTACAGGAACGACGTGAACCCTTTTTAAAGATAGGGACGACTATCGACTCATTCCATGACGTTGGTACACTCTCTAGTTCTCAGACTTTTGTAAACAACGTCGTCAGTTCCTTAATCAGAAAGTCACCACCATCTTTAAAAAAACCCGGAGGTAAGTCATCTGGGCCAGGTGATTTGTAACGCTTCAAGAGTTGGAGTTCCTTACGGACTTCCTCCTCGTTTGGTGGATCAGTCGTCACGGCCATGGATGGCACGACAGTTCGACCGATGTTACCGGAGCAGCAGGCCAGTTGAACTGTCCTTCGAAAAATTCCGCCTATCGTACAAGACGTCGATGGATGTTGGTGATTGGAATCCCGTTATCCTCGCAGATTGTTTCGCTCACACCAGACTTCTTGCTGCCAGTGGCTCGGATGAGTTGGAAGAGCATCCGATAGTTACCAGATGCAGCTGCTGCTTCCATCTCATTAGCACGCTCCGACCATCAGGCTTCTCGGTCCTTATGCATGCTTTGCCCAATTTCCCTACGTAACATCCTTCGTTTGTGGTCAAACTCACGGTCACCCGGAGTAGACCGAGGGGCTTCAATGAGTTGTAAGGAGTCTGAAGAAACCCAGTGCGGTCACTTCGTTGGCCACTGAAATGTAAGGCAAGATTGGCGCAGACCAAGGCATGGTCAGAGACCAGATAGGTACTCCAAAAGGAGCGGCAGTCTTTTACACAACCACGCCAGCGGTAGCTGATCGCGATGTCATCAATCTGAGTCCAGGCTTGAGATGCAGAGGGAGGACGCCAGGTGGCACATCGGCGATGACTGCGCCGAAAGTTAGTGCTAGCCAGAAACAGGTTGTGGTCTGTGCAAAGTTGCAGTAGACGGTCCCCATTATCTGACCTGCGACCAACGAGTCCCCATCGGCCACCTAAACGACTCTCTTCTGTGCCTAGACGTCCGACCAGAGCATTCAAGTCTCCGGCTAGTACTACAATATCTGTCGAACGCACTTTCTGGAGAAGAACTGATAACTGGTGAAAAAACTCATCTTTGATTGCATCCGGGCTGTAATCTGTTGGGACATAGGCGGAGATGACGAAAAGACATCGTTTCTCACACCGATTTCCTCTTACTTTGATGGAACTTTCTAATCTAACAGCACATAACCGAATGTTAATGAAGATCCAATCGATTGGTGCTGCCTCAGCTCTAACGCTTAGTGCGACACCAACGCCAGCAAGACCGTACGAAGATGCCACAGGGTCCCCGGAAAAGCGCACGTAAAACAAGCTTTTCGAAGCGACAGATGGAGAGCGAATTTGTAGTACTTCACCAGAGTCTTGAGTACGGGTCTCGGGTTGACAACAAACGTCTATATTAAGACTTTCCAAAGACATAGCCAGCCCTATCTGTCGTCCAACCTGCATAAGTGTGCGAACGTTGAATGCAGCCAGTTTGAATGGCGCACGTGCTTTCAGAAAAACTGCTTCAGTCCTCGTATTCGGTGGTAACGTACAATTTTCAACCAGGCAGTGACTCGAGAACGTTTAGTTAGAGTCGAGTTTCCTCCATAGGCGAGCTGCTGTATAAGTAGAAAAATAAGGATACACAGAGTGGGAATAAAAGAGAGTGAACAAATGACGTGGTAAATAATAATAATAATAATGATAATAATAATGTGAATCGTTTGATTGCTATTCGAAGCAAAACAAGTATTTTCCATAAGTATTGACATTTCATCATATTTGTGTGTGGGCTGTGATAATGCCCGGGTGCCCTGACCGAAGCGGGTGGTTTTCTTATGGGGCCACACACCGAGCCCTTGACTTAGAGGTCTGATCCACAATCCAGTGGAGCATCGTGAGGAGAGGCAGCCCCACGATAGCCGGTGACTAACGATTGGTTCATACGCCATTTGTTCCCTCAGGATACTGGAGCCCATGTGCACCACTGGTTTGGGATCCGATTAAAGCGCGGAAATTCGCTTTTCGTCCTCTCAATTTCGTAAACAACACCCCCGCCACGAGAAGGCAGTGAGTAAGACTTTCCTGGCAGAGGCTGTATACGTGTGACCATGTGAGAACATTTCGAGAGGGAGGGCGTGCCCACCCCACTCTCGGCCATACCAGGGCTTTGGGGGCTAATTCAGTGTAATCGTAACCCTTGTATTCCATTTTTCTACTCTAATATTCTAGTTTAGATATAATTTTACTTTTCTTGTTTTTTGTGATTTATGTATTTATATACGTTTTTGAAATAGTTTGAATCAGGAATAAATCAGATTACAGTTCCAGCTAAATCGTTATTTACTCTCTCCACCTGACTACCTATCAGGTCATAGTTCAGTTATAAGATAATTTTCTTCTCTCTATCCTCAAGCCCGTTCATTCTTTCTCGAACTCATACTTTACAAGTCTTAAGGTTGTACTGAGAAATTTAGATCAAGACGATTTTCTCTCTGCATGTAAAGAATTCATTAGTGGGTAGACAGATCAAGGATGTACTAAAGCTAAAACACCCTCCTAGATTTTAACTAATTACTTGATATTCGGGTTCATAGTGAGACGATAACCAGCCTTTTTCAATGTCGAATAAAAATACAATATAAAGCATTTTTGAACATTTCCCTCTTTGTTTAGTAAATGAGTTCTGCATTTAAAAGCACAGTTTTTCAGAGGATTTCATTTTAATCACCTAAATTTATCTAAATATGTCTTCTATGAACATCTCACTGTAGTAAATCCCGACTTGCTGAAAAGAAAATGAAGCAAAATTCAAGGCTAGAAACGAAATCCTTAGTGAAAATTATGCACTTAAGTCCAGTACACTCACTAAATAAACGAAAAAGTGAAGCCCATATTGAACACTGAAAACTGATGAGCTGCAACCTTACGGACATGTATCCAACAAATATAAAACAGGACACTCATGTCATGATCAAAAGAGTCATTTTAATTCTTTTAAATATTTTATACTTATTTAGATAACTGATTATGAACATTTATCCATGTACTATTTTCACGTCAGTGTGACCGTTCATTCGTTTTTTAATCTTATTTCATTAACACTTTGAACAGTTTAAACTGAATAAAAAATTCACTCAATCATTTACTGACAAAATCAAGTTTACACATCATATAATCGATCATCACGTTGATCTTTACAACCCACAGTTCCTACACACTTCGAACCTTACAAGTTTGGCCCACTGGTTACAGTATCTGAAATACATATATTCCTAAAACATTTCATATCAGATATTTAATATTGCATTGCTTTATGAAGTTGATTACACAACAAGATTAACCTATGAAGCATACATAACTAACAGGGATCTAAAACAAATGAAATCAGATAAACAATGAAACCGCTTATAGGTATATAGCCAACAAATGAGATTTTCATCATTTTTACATGTAAATTAATTACATTTAGAAATAGATGATCAACTGTTAGTCTTTAAAAGGACCAATAACTGTAATAAAAATCAATATATCAAAGTCAATATCCGTGATTTAAGACTCACCGAAACCTGAAATGTTATGAAAATAAGTCTTATTATATTAATTAAATACAATCAGTAAAATGAAAGTCCTTTTAATAGAGAAATTTAATAACAGAACTCATCCAACTCTGAATACACTAAAAATCAGTAATCAAAATACATGAGAAAATAAAATATTCTCTCATTTCAAAATGTAGAAATCATGTTAATTGATGGATTGTTTGTATTTACTTCTTACCTTTTGATCAAATCGATATGAACTACTACTACTACTATTACTACTACTACTACTACTACTACTACTACTACTACTACTACTACTACTACTACTACTACTACTACTACTACTACTACTACTACTACTACTACTACTACTACTACTACTACTACTACTACTACTACTACTACTACTACTACTACTACTACTACTACTACTACTACTACTACTACTACTACTACTACTACTACTACTACTACTACTACTACTACTACTACTACTACTACTACTACTACTACTACTACTACTACTACTACTACTACTACTACTACTACTACTACTACTACTACTACTACTACTACTACTACTACTACTACTACTACTACTACTACTACTACTACTACTACTACTACTACTACTACTACTACTACTACTACTACTACTACTACTACTACTACTACTACTACTACTACTACTACTACTACTACTACTACTACTACTACTACTACTACTACTACTACTACTACTACTACTACTACTACTACTACTACTACTACTACTACTACTACTACTACTACTACTACTACTACTACTACTACTACTACTACTACTACTACTACTACTACTACTACTACTACTACTACTACTACTACTACTACTACTACTACTACTACTACTACTACTACTACTACTACTACTACTACTACTACTACTACTACTACTACTACTACTACTACTACTACTACTACTACTACTACTACTACTACTACTACTACTACTACTACTACTACTACTACTACTACTACTACTACTACTACTACTACTACTACTACTACTACTACTACTACTACTACTACTACTACTACTACTACTACTACTACTACTACTACTACTACTACTACTACTACTACTACTACTACTACTACTACTACTACTACTACTACTACTACTACTACTACTACTACTACTACTACTACTACTACTACTACTACTACTACTACTACTACTACTACTACTACTACTACTACTACTACTACTACTACTACTACTACTACTACTACTACTACTACTACTACTACTACTACTACTACTACTACTACTACTACTACTACTACTACTACTACTACTACTACTACTACTACTACTACTACTACTACTACTACTACTACTACTACTACTACTACTACTACTACTACTACTACTACTACTACTACTACTACTACTACTACTACTACTACTACTACTACTACTACTACTACTACTACTACTACTACTACTACTACTACTACTACTACTACTACTACTACTACTACTACTACTACTACTACTACTACTACTACTACTACTACTACTACTACTACTACTACTACTACTACTACTACTACTACTACTACTACTACTACTACTACTACTACTACTACTACTACTACTACTACTACTACTACTACTACTACTACTACTACTACTACTACTACTACTACTACTACTACTACTACTACTACTACTACTACTACTACTACTACTACTACTACTACTACTACTACTACTACTACTACTACTACTACTACTACTACTACTACTACTACTACTACTACTACTACTACTACTACTACTACTACTACTACTACTACTACTACTACTACTACTACTACTACTACTACTACTACTACTACTACTACTACTACTACTACTACTACTACTACTACTACTACTACTACTACTACTACTACTACTACTACTACTACTACTACTACTACTACTACTACTACTACTACTACTACTACTACTACTACTACTACTACTACTACTACTACTACTACTACTACTACTACTACTACTACTACTACTACTACTACTACTACTACTACTACTACTACTACTACTACTACTACTACTACTACTACTACTACTACTACTACTACTACTACTACTACTACTACTACTACTACTACTACTACTACTACTACTACTACTACTACTACTACTACTACTACTACTACTACTACTACTACTACTACTACTACTACTACTACTACTACTACTACTACTACTACTACTACTACTACTACTACTACTACTACTACTACTACTACTACTACTACTACTACTACTACTACTACTACTACTACTACTACTACTACTACTACTACTACTACTACTACTACTACTACTACTACTACTACTACTACTACTACTACTACTACTACTACTACTACTACTACTACTACTACTACTACTACTACTACTACTACTACTACTACTACTACTACTACTACTACTACTACTACTACTACTACTACTACTACTACTACTACTACTACTACTACTACTACTACTACTACTACTACTACTACTACTACTACTACTACTACTACTACTACTACTACTACTACTACTACTACTACTACTACTACTACTACTACTACTACTACTACTACTACTACTACTACTACTACTACTACTACTACTACTACTACTACTACTACTACTACTACTACTACTACTACTACTACTACTACTACTACTACTACTACTACTACTACTACTACTACTACTACTACTACTACTACTACTACTACTACTACTACTACTACTACTACTACTACTACTACTACTACTACTACTACTACTACTACTACTACTACTACTACTACTACTACTACTACTACTACTACTACTACTACTACTACTACTACTACTACTACTACTACTACTACTACTACTACTACTACTACTACTACTACTACTACTACTACTACTACTACTACTACTACTACTACTACTACTACTACTACTACTACTACTACTACTACTACTACTACTACTACTACTACTACTACTACTACTACTACTACTACTACTACTACTACTACTACTACTACTACTACTACTACTACTACTACTACTACTACTACTACTACTACTACTACTACTACTACTACTACTACTACTACTACTACTACTACTACTACTACTACTACTACTACTACTACTACTACTACTACTACTACTACTACTACTACTACTACTACTACTACTACTACTACTACTACTACTACTACTACTACTACTACTACTACTACTACTACTACTACTACTACTACTACTACTACTACTACTACTACTACTACTACTACTACTACTACTACTACTACTACTACTACTACTACTACTACTACTACTACTACTACTACTACTACTACTACTACTACTACTACTACTACTACTACTACTACTACTACTACTACTACTACTACTACTACTACTACTACTACTACTACTACTACTACTACTACTACTACTACTACTACTACTACTACTACTACTACTACTACTACTACTACTACTACTACTACTACTACTACTACTACTACTACTACTACTACTACTACTACTACTACTACTACTACTACTACTACTACTACTACTACTACTACTACTACTACTACTACTACTACTACTACTACTACTACTACTACTACTACTACTACTACTACTACTACTACTACTACTACTACTACTACTACTACTACTACTACTACTACTACTACTACTACTACTACTACTACTACTACTACTACTACTACTACTACTACTACTACTACTACTACTACTACTACTACTACTACTACTACTACTACTACTACTACTACTACTACTACT